CAGACCCTTACAATAAACAGCTGAGAATGTCACATAAAGAATAGATTGAACGATAATTTTAACTTCTTTTTGTACAAAAAGAAGGTACAAAAAATTTTTGCTTCTAACCCAAATCAGCTAATCAACTGCCAAATTGTCTATTTATATACGATTGAATGTGCCTCCTTTCACCGCATCTTCAGTTATTTTAATGTTGTTTTCCAGCCTGTTTGTCTCATCAAAAAGTTTTTCTAATCATATCTTCAATGTTTTTTATATTCTTCCCAGTTCACAATTTAATACCGATAATCGCTCTTGCTCTTGTCTTCATGAAAAAGTTTCATACAAAGTACTACTACGTGGAACAATGTAATGCGAATGCTCAAAAAGTAGCATAAGAAATTTAGTGATCGGTATCCCTGATCCTGCTATGATCACATCACCTGTTGTGTTTGTATCCGTAATACCGTAGTATCATGCATTGATATGATGCCTATGCTGTTTTCAACGCATTCACTTTCGTTTAATTCTAATAAGAAGCTACCGGTCATATTGCCATTAGATGCTACATAATGAGCACTCCCTGATTAATAATAGTACTAAAGCACACAGTCCTTGGCAACACTAAAATTTTTGGGTAAGTTCTGCATCGCCACGCTTCTCCTTTAATCTTCATATGGCAAATAAATCGATGAACAAAAATCATGTCTCCGTACTTTCCACGGCCACAATTCCATGCTTGTGCCATACACTATCATTACTATGAAATTTACAAATCGTTAATGCAGGAATCACGGTAAATATTTTTATTGGAGTACTCGATGCTTGCCATGGTAACAATTGAAAATTCTTGAGCGGTGTTAATTAACGAGTATTTATAGTAGCGATCATCCACAACAAGCAATCTTCAATATTGGTTTAACATTCGAGCATGTTCGAATAGCAAGGTTTCCTTCGCACTTCATAAGAACATTTCCTGACTTTGTAAGCAAAATAAAACGTATGCAAGCGCTTAACGCACGATTAAAATGCTAATGTTAATTTTTGTACCACAATTGCTTTGTGTTTTAATTAAATGTGGTAATTCCTAATATTCGCTGCTCGTGAACTGCAATGGCGATGTGATGAACTCTTCAGTAATTTATTACGATCCATGCGACCGGTCTTTGCTTCTCGGACAAAAAAGACTACACACCGCCCTCAATTGTTCTTATAAAAACTTTTTTGCCATTCTCCTATTCACAAAAAGTGCAACTATTACCGGTACAGTGCACCATGCTAGATAAATGGTACCATGCTTGACAATGTCTCTACACAACAGAATACAAAACAGAAATTCGTGAAAATACAAAAACGCTAACAAATAACATTGATAACAGCTACGGTACAGCCCATAGAACGTGTTGTTATGGCATTGCTTCTTACCGTTCAATTTTGCTATGCCATGGAGTTCTTGTAGCATCAGCGTGTTGAACCGGGTGCAAGCGGCTGTATCCGGAACACTTACCGATTGGATGGAGACGAAAATTTATGGTGCAGATAAGAATCGCTAAATTTTCTAACAGCAATGTTTGCTCTCCCAATAACGAGATAGTTCCACAATTAGTGTGCACGATCACATCTACTGGGTATGTGTACAAAAAACATTGTTAAAATCACACATTGTTAATAATTGAAAGGAGAAAAACATAAAATTGGCGTTACGGCTTATA